GCAATTTGTTCGCTTTCAAGAACAGTGTATGTAAAGTCAGTCCCCATTGCCATAACCTCTTTAAAAACGTTTAGAAATTCATGGGTTTGTGGCGACTGTGGGTGACTTTATGTTATATCTGTTGGCTTGTGAAAAAGATCTGTGGGGAAAAGAGGTTTTTGTATGAGAGATGTTTTTTTTTTTTAATGAAAAAGATTTGTTGTGGGGGGAAAAAAAAGGAGTTATGAAAAATATTCGTCGTGGAAATGATTGGTTGTGTTAAGGTATTTGGGGTGGAATGTATCTGTTTCGAGATATTTGAATAGAAATCGTTCGGGATTAAATTGGCTGTGGGAAATATTTGTTTTCGAAAGGATAACACTACGGAAAATACTTGTATATCAATATGTAACATTTATTTTATATATATAATAGATAAATAGGCTAATTATGTAGTGTTTTGTGGAAGAACAATCAATCTTACATAACTATCTGTCTTTATATATAAATCTGACTGCCTATCTATTTATCTAATTATATATTTTGCTATCTGTCAGTCTGTCGGTCTATCTATCTATCTGCCAGTCTCTTTCGTAAAAAACAGAATGAAGACATGTACAGAACTATTGTAATAGTAATGATTATGCTGATAATATAGTGATAATGGTAATGATAGCAATAATTATAATATTACTACTAATAATAACAACAATGGTAATGATGATAATGATAATGATGATGACGATTATGATGGTATTATTAATGATAATGATAATGATAGTATCAGTATTAATGATTATAACGATAACATGACATTAACAATGGCAGTAATAATGATGGTGGCGATCATAATAATAACGATGATCATGATAATAACAAAGATAATAATAATGATAGAGTTAGTAAGAATGACAATAATAACAACATCAAGACTGACCTAGAAATGAACCGTAACAAATAATAATAAAGACAACAACAACACGAGGAAAGGCCTAAGAATAAACCGTAGCAAATAATAACAAAGACAGTAATAATAATACAGATAGAATAACAACAACAACAACACGAGGAATGGCCTAGGAATAAACCGTAGCAAATCAATAAACTATAAGACCTCGTCAATGAGCAGCTCTGACCTCATTCATCAGACGTTGTTACGAGTGCCAAGTCATGAGTCGAGTCGTGAGTAATGTGGTCTTACTCATTAACTCTCACTTGTGGATTTCTGGGGTTAGTTGTTATTTCTCGTGAGGGGGTGGGGTGGGGGGGAAGGGGAGGTTGGGAGGTTATTGCGTTGTTTTTGAGGTGATGGAAGATATATA